ACACACACACGGTGCCGCTTGGCGGCGCGTGCGTGGAAAGCCTGAATATAGATACCTAAAAAGACTTAGAAACAAAAGAAAGAAACACAGAAAGAGCAGCGCTAAGAGGGCAAGAGAGAAAGATAGGCGTAGAAAAAATGAAAAATTAATACTTAGCCCTTGACTGGGGCAGGGAAACGAGCCTCAAGAACAACCTAAAAAGCCTGAGAGAAAGCCCAACAAACGACAAAAAGCGCAAGAAGGAAAGGGGGGGGGCAGGGAGGGGGTGTATGTCCATGTGTGTGTCTGAATACTTAGCACTCTAGGGTTACCGACTACTTAGCCGAAATGAATTACAGTGCAATAGTTAGGGAGCGGGACTTTAGTCTTAAACCGCCCGGGTAGAGTATAGACTAGAAAGGGACAACAGAGGGAAAGGCACCGACACACAAGTGTGTCGAGTACCATTCCCTGTGTTACCCTAATTAGGTAGGGAGTAGAACACGGTGGGGGGGGGTTGGGAAACCTGCCTCAAGTGGGGCGAATTCCGTTTTTAAGCCCGGCGGCTGTCGTATCCGTAAAAGCCCGGCGGCTCTAAAGGCAGTGAATTCAGGGTGGAAAAGAAGCAGTTAATGAAAGTCCAGTGAGAGAAACGGATCCAGCAGTTACACGATTACCAGCATGGCTTCGGCGCCCCAGTGACGGGGATCACACCCAGCACCCAAGTGGGACGGCTGAGCGGATCACACTCTGACATTGGTTTGCTGTTAACTCAATTCCCACGATGAGAAGGAAGGTGATGGAACGGCAAGGGGAAAGGTCCAAGAAATTGTAGCTGTTTGAACAAAGGCGATTTCTCTTGACTGCAGTGCTCAGCGGTGGTGAACGAGCGACACAACTCAGCTGCAAAACCGAGGTTTGGGGGTGGAAACATGAAGAACCATGAATCAAACCGCGGAAAAGTAGGGTGACAGCTTGTCTAAAAGTTCAGCAGGTACACGGAGGTGATCAATCTCCGCATCCCCCATCGTGGAACAGCTTCGTTGGCACAGGTATCCACGATGGGCCTGTGCCCCCTGCCTGAATCCAAGATGGGGAAAGTGGGGAAAGACAGTGCCCTTCGGAACAGGGGTAGACACACACACACACACACACACACACACACACGCACACGCTTTGAGCCCAAGAGCTCAGCCGTCTTCGAGCTCACCTTCGGCCTCCTCAGAAGGTATGACTGGACCCTCTCTCCTGGCACGCACCCTAGTCACAGCTTTGAAAAAAAGGTGCGCCTGGAGCCACAGGGCATACCTTCTGAGAAAGTGTTTGGGGGTCCTTTCTTTTTGGATGAGCCTACTTGCCTTGGCTGGATCCAAAGGAGGAACAAATTGAACACCGCCGCATGACGGGTGGGGAGATCGTGCCTGACAACCACTCCAACAGATCCCGCCACCGGCGCCCGCCCGAATTGCGCCTGAGTGATCACGATCATCTCATGGTCATCGGGATGGGGCGCCGCAGTAATGGCAGTGGCTAAGGATTTGAGGGTTGAACTACGAGGTACCAAGAAGATCGTTGACCTCAGCTGGCCCCAAGATCGCTCCCCAAAGCGCTTGAGATGGCCGCCCTGATGAACCCAAGAGATGCCAGCACCCCAAGATGTTTCTCAAACGGAGGTCCATATAAACAACCATGTCCCATACACTCCATGTATATCCATGTATGCCTACATTGACCCCCCAAACCACCTCAATGTAGGCATATATGGCAGTCCCATTAGTCGTGTCTGGGCTTGGTGATTCAATAAGCTTCTGATTCTATCCAAACTGGGAAATAAAGCTCCAACACCCTCCGGAGCCGAGACCAACCGACACCTCCACCGCCACCACCGGAGCCGAAAACGGAGGCCCCGGGGGGCCGCGTCGTCTGAGCTGAAAAGTTCATGCCGTCCCCTCACTTTATATATATATACATCATTTGTTATGTTTGACCTCGCAAATGTCATGGACCATGTCCTGATCCTTTTGTCAACAGCGATGGTTGATGGTTGGTTTCGGCATCAAGTTCTTTCGGCGGGGCGAGAAACAGGTGGTCCGTGAGCGGCGCCGGCGCGGTCGCGAGGGAAGGCCCAAATTGGGATGGTTCACCAACCCTTTTTGGGGCTCCTGGCGTACCTCACCAAGATGTTGACCTCGAAAGCCACCGCAGTCCCACCGTACCTCACGCCTTCTCGGGACGTGAGAAGAGGGCCGCAAATGCTTGTCATTCACATCACTTTAAATATTTTAAATGATAATATTCCTTCATCATGACTGTCCTTCATCTTCATCTTCGGGTTCTCATTTCATCCTCATGAACCGTCCGAACCTCAGAACCCTGGACCATGGAATCCGTCGGGAAACAGAGAAAAACAACAACAAACGGCTGAAAAAGACCCAACCTCCCGAGCAGATTTTAAGGTATTTTATGATTATAGATTACGCAAACTTTACATCTGTTACATGTTCAGGATGGTGGAGGATGTCTTAGACTCCCTACCTTCTGGATTCGGGTCCTCAGGAGCCCCCCACCCAAAAAGCAGCCGACTCATCGGCCGGATGCCTTCGGAAGCGGGCTGGATGGCAACGGGGGCGGTCCTCCAGTTCTGTTCATATCCCTTGGAGGGCCACGGCGCGCTTTCCTGATTCTCCGCCGGAGTGGCAGCGCGTGAGCCGGGCAATTGCGGCGCACCATCACTCTCACGCAGTGCTCACCCACCACCGCGACCTCGTCTCAGGTGCGAGCCGATGAGAGGAGCGCGGGTGGAACGCGTGGAGCGAAGAGGTGATGAGAGCGCCCAGTGCCGAGCGGGACTGGGGACTGGAAGATGACTCCACTGACCTCCCCTATAGCGTTCCTGGCCACCTGAGAGACGGTGGGACAAGTGTGGATGCTAGGGGGGTCGAAGACCACCGAACCTGAGGAGATGGGACAGGAGCCCTAGGGCTCCTAAGATGAACACCATATGACATAATATGACATGGAATCTATGACATGGAGTGTCTGAAGATGGATTTCCCCAAACGAAAATCGAGAAGCCGCGCCGATCCTCTCGCACGACCGATGCCCTTGGAGTGTGGGTCCGTCCCAAAACGAGCCTGACTGCTGGGCCGAGGTGCATCAGCCTTGTCCAGTGTCGCCAAATATCCCAAACACTCAAGAGGACTGGCATGATTGCTTCTCTTGCGGTGGTTGAACATCTGGGGTCATCCACGACCGGCATCGATGCCTTCGCCTGTCGTGGTCGTTCTTTATATTCGCATCCACACCGAGTCCCACACAGCCGCCGACACTGAGCACCAAGCACCCGAGTCGCACTCGCTACTTTCGGTTGGTCAACCACTGCCCAAGCAATTGGGAAGGTCCGGTTTCTCACTGCTTTTCGGTTGGTGCTTTCGGTGTGTTCTTTGTTTTTGACGTTTGCTTGATGCTGTTTTAATATAGTTCATCTTTTTGTAGTCCCTTGAATATATATGTTGTTTCATGTGCGGTTTGCTTGTTATGTAATTAAAATGTCAAATACTGCTGTAAAACTCAGGAGAGCAATATTCAAGAAAACAAGGATTGATTGGCGCTAGCAATGCAATGATATACATCATCAGTTTTTGCTCTATAAACTACGCTACCCTCCTGATTAGACAGTCGTTCCAGCAGTCACAAAGGGGTGCTTAATGGAGGGTAGGGTGCCCATTATCCACTCACTTAGGGACTAAACACCACCCCTTTGTGACTGCTGGTCTATTGTTTCTTTTCTAGATTGTTGCTTGTGGATGGAGCCCTACCAGGAAGGAACCGTTTCATGAAGACGGCTCGGCTCAACGGTTCTTGTTCAGACTCTCATGTCATGTTCGACTATGCTCCGTCCAACAAACATGGAGAAGTGGAAGATGGCCTCTTGGAAGACTGTTTTCCTCTACAAACCGGTGGTTTTCCACTTCCATGATTGTTTCAGGGAGACCTACGCCTCTTTTTGCCTGAAAAAGACGTCTCTCTGGGCTCAGAAGTGCAGCGTCGCCAAGGCGCTCGGTACCACGGTTGCTCACGGAAGGTGAGCTGAACCGTGGCATCGCCCGGCGCATGAAGTTGGAGCACCTCGGTGTGTGCAGGGTGCACCTCGGGTGGTGGGACCATGGCATCCGTCACCAAAAGTGGAGTTGGATGGTGTGGCTCGTCCCCATCCAGGGGCTGTGGATGGATCATGGGCACACCTCCATGGATCGCACCCCGACAGGTGACTGCTGGACCCGTTTTTTGTTTCAAGCCAGGTGTTTTTCAGAGGCCCATCCAATGGGTCTGGCGAAGTCATCTGGGTGGGGTGGCTTGAGCCACTTAAAAGATATTTGCCAGTGGGAGCGATCCTCCCAAGTATAAAGATTGAACACACAATTGAAAACATTTGAAACAACAAACCACCACCCAAGACATCACAAAAGAATATGAAACCACCACGCATTCATGGCAGAAGGACCCTGGTCGACGCCGGTTCTTTTCACCATCTTCTATCGATCTGCGCGCGGTACTCGCTGCATTTTGGTGGGGCAAATGGTGAATGTAGACTCGTCCGATCAAAAGACCCACCCAGGCTGGTTCCAAGGTTTTGCCATCCAAATGGGCAGCGACGCTGGTTCTGATATAAAGACTGAATTCCAGTACGCTTCCCTTAAAGCCTCTTTCGTGAGTCCACCGAGGGGGTTTCTGATACAGAGAGCATATCATGAATTACATTACGTACTACCTGGACCCTGGACCATCCAATGGGTGTCCTGTCTGGAGATCCCTAAGTAGTGTAGGGTAGTCATGGACACCCAAACAGGTTGCTCGTGAGAAAGACCTCTATCATCCTTCCACTCCTCAACCCAATCTAGGAACAAGGACGCTACTAGGTGGAGGCCATCGCAAATAGGTTGGAGGCCATCGCCACTAGTAACAAGAAACTACTATAGTAACTAAGGTCATCGCTACGAACGTGGACGCTACGAAGCGTAGCTCCTGGCCATACTACGAACGTCACAACAACGCCATTGATCCGACGTCGGTTTTTGGAGCCCCGCCGGCGGTCACCGGTGACAGGTTCCGTGGCCGGCCCCGGACAGAACAGGTTGGAACAATGCAACGACTGCCAGTGTTCCAAGGGCGTTCTCATGTGTTTCTCCACCTGTCACCATGACAGTCTCCTTCACATGTCTTTTCCAAGAAATGGAGGAACGATGTAGAAGACGCGGCCCCTGATCCTTCTGGCCTTATCTTGCCAGGATAATGTTTGTTGCTGGAGCTTTAATTTGGGACAAAATACCAGCGGATGGATCGAAGAGGGAGGATCGTAACTTGGTTGCTTTGCCTGCACATCCTAAGTTTTCGGCAACATATTGACGGGTACTTGCTGATTGCCGCTTCGAAACTAAACTACACATTGAGCACCGCCATCCCCTGCCAGCCCACCCCTAATGACTATATTGATTCCACATCGTTTCATGAGCTGCAAGTTGCGAGCATGTTTGTCACGGTTCATCACCAAGGCACTTGAAAGGAATTGAAAATACGACTTGGAATGCTCTCCCAAGCCTCCCAACGGCCAAGGCGTCGCGGAATGAATCTCTGCATGGAATCTCTGGTCTTCCGGTGGAATCCCAATTTTTGGAAGTGCGGGCGCAGCAGGTGCAGTGTCAAGAAAACATGCAGCGCTTCATCTGCAGGATGATGTTCAGCTGAATAATCTAAGATGATATCACCTTTAGTCATGAAAATGGCCGACATCGTCTTCTAACTAGACCCCCCTTCTTGTTGCATGTATATAATCCCTTTTGAGGGTTTTATTGAACTCTTCTGCGGCCAATGGCTCCAGCTGCAAGTGCCTTTCATACTTGTATACCTGTATATATATATACACTATAAAAGGTAGGTTTCTCCTCATGTTCGGGAACTTGCGAATAACAAGAAACAATTCACATCATCTGTGAAATGAACTTTTAGGAACTTGTATCTTTCAATCTTATTGCGCTTGCAATTGGCATCAATTGGCCGAACAAAGGTGTCGATGTCTTGCTTGAACAATCTCTCTCTGCTCTTTCATGTGCCCTCCGGAGGGTTTCACCAGGTGCTTTTCCTTCAAAAAATGGAACACACCCGGTGCCTAACCCTCTCAGCCGAACCCTCTGCCCCTGGCAACTCTCCCCAGTGCGGCGGCCTCGGAAAGCGCCTCAGGAAATGGCCAAAAGGCATTGGCCTCCGCCGTTCATCGCGGATCCAAAGAAATCGAGTCAGACTTCCTGGAATCGACGTCAAATGGGTAAACCAGAGATGGTATCTTCCTTCTTCCTGTTGTTTGTTCGGGTCATGTTGCATTTCCTAAGGTAGTTGAAGTGGGGTCCAGGTGGAGTCTCTCTCCGTCGACGCCTGGACAACCTCGGCAAGCCCATCCAGCTGCGACTTACCAATGGAATAACCACGTGATGTTGCCCTGGTGAGCAAGTCTAGTCTACATGCCACTGGTCCAGTGGATGGCATGGCCAACTTGAGGAAGTTCCCAACGAATGGGAGAGAGCTGCAACTACCTCATGGGAAGGTGGTTAGGTTGGGTTCGGGGTGCCTGGGTGGCTCTGTCCTGAGGTGGTGGGAACCTTCGAACAATTCAAGAACACATGTGGATTTCCCCCACCTCTGTCGATTTTCCTGTATATTCTCCTGGTATCTGTGCTATTCTGTGCTGGCCGCTGGACGTGCCTCAACAGAACTCCGTTGCACTATGCGCGACCTGATGTACCTGGCGTGCCGGTGGAGCCAGCACTAGGAACAAAGAACAAACCCTCAAGGCACTGCCATGTTGGCCAGTAAAAACACAAACAACACGCTAAACAACACGTGTTAAAATCTAGAAGCTAGAAATATGAACACAAAACACATATGTTGTCTAACGTTAAATAAAATCAAACACAGTGTTTTCCACAAGGCTTAGCCCCTCCTCCTTAACTGACTGGAAGGGTAGAGTCAGTCACCCCCCCCCACCACACACACACATACACACACAAACACACACACAAAAACAAACAAACAAACAAACAAACATACATACATACTTACTTACTTACTAATTTACTTACTTACTTCCTTCATTACATTACATTACATTAATTACATACATCTTTGCAAACACACATACATACATACATACATACAAAAATACATACATACATACAGACCATACCATACCATACCATACCAGGTATGCGGATGCACAAGGCCCATATTTCCATCAGTCAGCTGTTTCGTGGTGTCATCTCACTTACAGCTTGCACAAAACTACATGCCAAATTTGCAGTTGTACTATGCCAGTCTATGTCAGTGTCAAACTGGACCGTGCGCTAACA